CCCGGAACTTAAATGGAAATAAAATCATAAATTAAATGCGAAAGTGAAATAAAAGAGTTAGAGTTTACATTCCTTACACATAATTTAGAATGCCCAATAAGATTTTGAAAATGTTCATTCTAAAAGAGTAAACGAAAATCAAAGAAATAAACAAAAAATAAATCATTAAGAATCCTAGGACGACTTTCACTAGCTTTTAAAGGGAGTCCGGGTGGTGAACCATTCGCAACCCTCTTATTAATCGGAATCTAGATCTTGGTCATTGTGATTTGAAATAGTTAATGAAGGGGTGAGCTTCACTATCCCAGTAAGAATATCACACTAATCACATATACGAAAAATTAAAGATTGGTAAAAATAAAAAAAATAACCAATGAAGCCATCAATTTATTGTAAATTCATTTAGTACAAAGAAAGCTATTTATTTCACATTTGTGTATCAACTCTCTCCCAACAATAACTTATGAAAACTCGTATTTATGCGCAATTCTTTATCACATAGAAGATAACAAGAAACTATTATTTTATATTTTTACCCGCTTATTGATACTCCTGGAGGTCCATAGGGATATCCTCCTACCCGTGAACTTAATATCCAATTAAACAATTACTCAGCCGTCCCCATACCCCGTCTGGTAATGGGTGCCAAATATTCTATGACCTCGATACCCATTCTGGTATGAAGGTGAACCATATCTCCCAAATCTTCTTGGTAAGGGACTTCCCAACCCCATCCGAATGAAGTAACGTTCCCGGTATGGTTCCCTATGTACCGGGTCCCTCTGTCCTTTTTTGGGTACCCAGTAAGTCTTTCCTATACAGATTTCCATCAGCATAAAAGTCAACCATGCAATAATCATATATCATTTTATACTCACCGTTCACTTAAATAACAATATAGTTTCACACCGCCAAATAACCAATGCAGGGAAAACAAATAACCAAAGAGACCTTAAAAACTATTAATTGAGTTACGCACAATATAATAGTAAACAAACATAGACAATATAGAAAAATAAACAGAAAATCAAAATGACTGTGAACTAACCGGTTCCAGCTCCACTAGTGACCTGTAATTGTTTTAAAGTTTTCTACTTGTTCATAAAAACACACACTTATTAATTATTAAGCCTCAATTTGCCGTAATGGAGAAAATAATGAAGGATCTTTATCCGAATCGGTGTCTGAAACATTGAACTTTCTACTGTGCCTACTCGCAATCCCCAGATTTCTTGAAATATCTCTATGAAATTTAGAACACTTGTAACGTACCTAAAAATACCTTAGGAATCCAAAATCGATAAAAAAAATTTTTTCCAACAAATTTAAGGGTTCTGGCACGGCGGCACCGCCGTGCTCCGCCGACGACACCACCACCCGTAGCATCAGTTTGCCTCGGCCTGGCCGTTTTTGGCTAGTTTCGATCGGTTTTATATGTATCATGCGAAAAAATACGTTAGGAGGCCTCGGTTGGTCGATAAAATTAGAAAACAGAAACCTACAAGTGGTTGGGTTTTCTAGGTGCGGCGGCTCTGCCAGTTCACCTTTATAGCTGGGAGTCTTTCTTCGGTGAACCCATAGAAAATAAAACGGTAAACACAACGATAGAAAAATTGCAAGAAGCGAGAAATGTGAAGGGGCTCATCGGAGGAGGTTGTGGGTTTTGCCCGCGGTGGCGGCACCCGCCTTTGCTTGCGGTTTTCGATTTACCCGTTGTTCTTTTTGCTCCAATTTGGACATTGGGGTGCTCAGAATCAAATTCCGACCGGATATGAGAATTTTTACCTTTTTTTGCGGTAAGAGGTGGCTCCGGTGACTGGTTCTTCTTCTTCAGCGGGAGACTGGCGGTTAGGGTTTGGATTCAGTATGAGCGAAATATTTATACTCATCTCGCGTTAATCTGGATCGTTCATCACGTTTGATCTCGATCATCCAATCGTGTTTAAAAAAGAAATGAATCTGCACCGTTCATCACAATTTGATCTCGACTGTCTGATCGCGTTTAAAGAGAGAACAAATCCGGGCCGTCCACGTGCGTGAGATCAATCCTGGACCGTTCAATCGTAGGACGCATGGATCACCTGCATGGCATCGACGTCAGCGTGCCCTACCACACGGTGTGCTCTGGTTCGTCGGGATTGCTGAGTTAGCGATCCTACGTAGTAAAATTTTTTTATTTGCACTTTGACCCACAGTTTCTAATTTTTCTTTCAAAAATACCAATCGAACCCAATTTTTCACATATTTTTTCTAAAATTATTTTCAATTTCATCTCTAATTTATTTTTTCAATAAATTTAATAAAAATTAAAATAAATTAATTTAAAAAATAATTTTTTT